ATTATTATTATTATTATTATTATTATTATTTTCTTTTAAAAAAAAATTGCTTTTTAATGAGCATACAAAAACACATACAACCTCTCCACCCACACACATACAGAGTAATTAGTGTGTGTGTGTGTGTGTGTGTGTGTGTGTGTGTGTGTGTGTGTGTGTGTAGGCGTTTGTCCAGCTGGGAACCCCGGAGGACGCAGAGATGCTGGTGAAGTATTACAGCGTGAACCCCCTGAACATTAAAGGAAGACCCATCCGCCTCAACATCTGCACCAAGTACAAAACGCTCACGTGAGTTGAGAGCACCGGACACCTGTTACAGTCTTTACAGCAGGTTTTAGTGCTCACCTGAAACTCACAGGGATCCGGCCAATAAAATAAAGCTTGACTTAAATTTTATTCCTCCGCCCGGCGACAGTCAGAGCAGCAGCCATTTTATTTTCGGGTTGTCCGTCTCATTCTTGTCAACAGGATATCTCAGAAACGCCTTGACGGAACTTCTTCACCTTTGGCACAAACATCCACCTGGACTCAAGGGTGAACTGATTAGATTTGTGGTGGGGGGGGGGGTCAAAGGTCAGTGTGACCTCAGAAAACACTTTTTAGCCATTACTCAATATTTTCTCTGACTCTGGATAAACAGGATGTGACCTGGAACTAGTCTGATTGGCAAAGGGATACGACCAAAAGGACAAACTTAAAGTTTAAAGTTTAGTTTTTCTTAAATTTATTGTGAAAGGTTCACAGGTTCCTGTGTGAACTGGATTGTTCGGCTTGACGAAGGAGAGCAGGAGAGAAACGAGAACGATGAAGCTTTTACTGAAGAACAAAAAAAAGGAAAGAATCCACCCCTCAGAGGAGAGTGGATCCTCACATAGAGGAGGTGCACAGATGTATACTCCTCATTCTTAGTTATAGTCTGAGCTATAACTCAAACCTGAACACAGAGACGTGATAAACAAACACATTCACTTAGAAATCAGAGAACAAGTCTCCAGAACTTCATAGAGAATCCTCCTGTTTTTAAGTGTCAGGACACAGTGATAGTACATCATGATACACAGCTGATCACAGCTGATCACAGCTGATCACAGCTGCTGTGATAAATCTACTGATAAATGGTGATAAGCAGGAAGCTGTAGAAATGTACTGACACGTTTCTGTTTGTGACAGTGTGAACCGGAGACAGGGGGGATCTGGAGACAGTCGCAGCCAGAGGAGCAGCGGAACGAACGCCTCCTCCTCCTCCTCCATCTCTGGAACCAGGACCTCCTCCAACTCCAGGACCTCCTCCTCCAAATCCTCATCCAGCTCCAGGACCAGAGAGGAGGAGAAGAAGAAGGAGGAGGAGGAGAACAGAGGGAAAGCTGAGGAGAAACCTGCCGTAGAGGAGGAGGAGGTGTCCGGAGTGATGGAGGGGGAGGACGGAGGGGAGGGGGAGGGGGAGGAGCAGGAAACGGATGGAGGCACTAAGAGGGAGGAGCCTGAGAGGGCGGAGTCTGTGAAGGAGACGGTGGAGTCGTCTTCAGGAGACGTTCAGGACGAGCAGGTGAGAAATCAGGAACAAGAACATGGAGGATCTTCTCAAATGATTTCTGAAACTTAATGTGTGAAACAATCACAGGTTTCAGACAGTGATGATGTCACTGATGACACACCTGGACATCAGTGCGGGACTGAAGGTGAGGCCAGGCAGGGGGCGGAGTCAGAAGGCATGACGGAACCAACAGAAACTAAACCTTCGACTGAAGAACACGAGAACAAAGACGAACTGACGGCAGAACCAGGGGAGAGTTCAGAGGCCGAGGAGGGAGCTCCGCCCCCAGACGAGGTGAGGCGGGGCTTGATGATGAGTCATAGACCGGTGTTTTGTTTTTTTTTGTTTGTGGTGTTTATGATTGTTGTTCTGTCAGTTTGATCAGGACTTCCTGGAGAACATGGAGGACTTTGTGACGCTGGATGAACTCGCAGAGGAAGAGGACGACGAGGATCTCGAAGACTCTGACGCCATCGGTACCTGATCACAACACGTTAACATGACGAACTGAGTTTTAGTCCACAATAATAATTATATTAATTATCAGAGAAATGAAAGTTAGACTCAGAAGTGAACATGTTTCAGTGGAGATGATGATGATGGTGGTGATGATGATGATGATGATGGTGATGGTGGTGATGATGGTGATGGTGGTGATGATGATGATGGTGATGATGGTGATGATGGTGATGGTGGTGATGATGATGATGGTGATGATGGTGATGATGATGGTGATGGTGATGGTGGTGATGATGGTGATGGTGATGATGGTGATGGTGGTGGTGATGGTGATGATGGTGATGATGATGGTGATGATGGTGATGATAATGATGGTGATGGTGGTGGTGATGATGATGATGATGATGATGATGATGATGGTGGTGATGATGATGATGGATGGTGATGGTGGTGGTGGTGATGATGATGATGATGATGATGATGATGGTGATGGTGGCGGTTTCTGTGTGTTTAAATGAGACTTGAACTAATGTTGATCCTCTGTGTGTTTGTGTCTCCTCTGCAGACAACACAAGGAAAGGGGTTTGTATCTTCTCTTCATGTCACGTTTTATTGTTCCTTTCTCTTTCATCTTTCCTCTTGGATATTTTTTATTTTATTATCAGCAAACACTCGTGATAACATGTATATGATGTTACGAGAACGCAAAACATTCAGCATGAATTTACATTATAGAGACATAAAAACAGGAATTGTTTTTTGCTTAATTATATATAAAAAATCTGACAAAGTGAGAAGGAAAAAGAAAAGTGGGGAGAAGGAGAATCTGACAGTTTTAATGATGTAGAGTGAGAAGATAAACACAGCTGATATTGACGCCCTCATCAGGTGATTCTGAGACATCGAGGGTGAAGACCTTAGAATAATCAAGAGAGAAACCAGGAGAAAAACTTACGTATAAAATACATCCGTAAACGTATAAATACAGACATGTAAGAAGAGACGGATTGGAACAAACAATCATATTCACAAATAAAATAGTTATAGTAAGTCGTAATGAATTCATCATTTTGTTTCAAATATTTTAATTATGAAGGATCCACTTGTATAGAAAACCACAATCAGAGATTCAGTGCTTCTTACATATAATCAGACAATAAATCTGAACATGTAGGAGAAAAAAATTATAATAAAACAGAAAAAAGATTTAAATCAGAGAAAACATTGATTAAACCAACAGGACGTAGAAAAGATAAAAAAAGGTACATAAACAACTGAAGTAATTAAAGTTACAAAAGCAAAAGTGCAATATAATGCATAAGAGTAAGAACGAACATGGCAGAGTTAGTGTGGACATAAAGAGTAATACAGTCATATTCAGAGCCTCTATAAAGTCATAGTTTAGTACTTTGTTGTTGTTTTGTTTTTATATTGTGGTAAAAGGTTAAAAACATTCAGAAAAGCTGTTTGTTATTTTCTATAAAGCACAGACTCTTCAGGTGTGATGCTCAGACACTGGTTGACACGCGTCTGCTCGTTGATTTCCTGTTTCCTCAGGGAATGAGGGTGGTGAACATCGTGGGCTTCAGACGAGGATACAACTTCCTCACCGAGCTGCTGGGACTCGCCAAACCTTTTGGGAAAGTGGTGAAACACCTGGTGCTGGACTTGAGACCTGAGGTAGACCGGACGTTACCCTGCAGTGTTTTATAGCATTGTAGAGTCTAATCCTCCGGGGTTGAAACGCTCACTGGGCGTCTGTTGTAGCTCATCGCCTCCACACTGTTTCAGACGGAGCCAAAAACACCAGGAGAAATAAATTAATAGTAATTATGTGAAAGTTTTTTCATTTTTCCTGTTTTCATTAGTTGTTTATTTTGGCCTGAAGCTTTCTGCTCATTAAAACAAGCCCCTCCCCTTCTCTCCCCCGATCAGGCGTACCTTCAGTTTGCCACAGAAGAAGAAGCTCGAGCGATGGCCAAGTTCTACAACAGTAACGTGACGGCGTCGGTGTGCGGTCGACCGGTCAGGGTCAGTCACTCCATGACCTACCCCACCATCCAGGTGAGTCACAGCTGTTTGACTCCAGGTGGTTTAAAGAAACCAGGTCTCTGACTGCTGATCTGTGATTATTAAAACTTTAAAGTTTAGACGGAACAGAAACGATTAGTCAATTTATCGATTCATTCATTTTATCAAACAGTTGATTGTTTGAATGATTTTTCAAGCAGAAATGTTAAAGCTCTGTTCCCGCTCGTCCACTGTGAAGTTTGAACTGTGTTGGACAAAACAAGACATTTGAAGACGTCACACTGGACTTCAGGAAACTGATGGACATTTCCTGATATTTTTTAACAACCAATCAGCAGATTAATCAATAATGAAAACAATGGTTGGCTTCATCCTCAGTTTAGACCATTATTGTGCTTTCTTCAGTATCTTTTAGACTAATTATATTTTTGGATAGTAAACTCCAAAGAGTGACCTTTGACATCCAGAGACCAGTTCAGGTGTGTCCATGTCCTCATGACGTCCTGTCTCTTGTCCTGTCAGTGCGGCTCCAGCAGGGTGGTCTACGTGGGTCAGATCCCCAGCAGTAAATACTCAGACGAGGCCGTCCTGAAACTCGCCGAGCCGTTCGGGAAAGTCAGGAAGTATTTCCTCAACAGGATCAAGAAAGAGGTACGGAACCAGGACTGGACCTGGACCTGAAGACACTGCAGAGATCAGTCTGTCTGTGTCCTCAGTGTCTCAGTCTGATGTCTCTGTCCTCAGTGCTTCATTGAGATGGACAAAGCCGAGGACGCAGAGAGAATGGCTGAAGATTGCAAAGTTAATCCACCAAAGTTCAACGGGAAACGTCTGGTGGTCTACGTCAGCAGGAAGTACAGACAGCTCAAACACGGGTGAGCTGAAGGTTTTATATGTGTGTGTGTATATATATATATATATATATATATATATATATATATATATATATATATATATATATATATATATATATATATATATATATATATATATATATATATATATATATATATATATATATATATATATATATATATATATATATATATATATATATATATATATATATATATATATATATATATATATATATATATATATATATATATATATATATATATATATATATATATATATATATATATATATATATATATATATATATATATATATATATATATATATATATATATATATATATATATATATATATATATATATATATATATATATATATATATATATATATATATATATATATATATATATATATATATATATATATATATATATATATATATATATATATATATATATATATATATATATATATATATATATATATATATATATATATATATATATATATATATATATATATATATATATATATATATATATATATATATATATATATATATATATATATATATATATATATATATATATATATATATATATATATATATATATATATATATATATATATATATATATATATATATATATATATATATATATATATATATATATATATATATATATATATATATATATATATATATATATATATATATATATATATATATATATATATATATATATATATATATATATATATATATATATATATATATATATATATATATATATATATATATATATATATATATATATATATATATATATATATATATATATATATATATATATAAAGATAAGATTAATTCAGTTGTATACACACGTGTGTGTGTGTGTGTGTGTGTGTGTGTGTGACGTCTTTTTGTTTTTCTTCAGACATCGATGTCCGACCACAGTGAAGAGAGAGAGCAGCAGCAGCATCTCTCCAACTAAGCCCTCCAAACACCCCGAAGAACCTGCAGCCAAGAAATCCAAGCTGGAGAAGAAACTGGAGGAGAAGGAGGGAGAGGAGGAGAAACTGAAGGAGCAGGAGGAGGAGGAGGTAGAGATGAAGAGCTCTGAGCTGAGTGGAGGTGAAGAGAAGAGAGAAGAAAACGCAGCAGAGAAGAATCCTGAAGTTTGTGATGAGAAACTGAAGAGCAGCGAGATCGAGGTGAGTCAGAGATCGATGGTTTAAACCAGCGGTTGGCACAAATGAGAAGTTGACAGCAGATTTTACTTTCAAAACCTATTTATTGTCTGGCCAAGTTAGCGTCACTGAGTTGGCTAATAAGTTTACCTTTTCTCCGGTAATTCGCTGCCTTATTCCTCACGACTACACTTCTCTGACTCTGACCTGGTGCCTGACGTGACGTCACTTTCAAGGCCGCGCTCTCGCGAGTAATTAACTCCAATAGGATCCCCCAACCCCCCCACTCCCTCCCTCCCCTCTCCTCTCCTCCCCCCGCTGTTGCGCTCATCATCACACAGGCTGTGCTGTGAAGGTGGAGAGATGTGGCGGTGGTGCATCTGCGACAATAAAAAAGAAAAAAAAGAAATTTGAAGGCGTGGCGGCTGTGATTTAGCAGTGGCGGGTCTCCACTGCTAAATGAATGTAGAGGAAACACTGCGGAAACAGAATGCAGATGAGCAAGATGGTGGCTTGTGATTCTACTCACAAAGATGATCATATGATCTTTTTACCAGATGAAGAGTAACAAACATTTTTATCAATATCTTAAATTAGCCTTTGATCATGTTGTGGCTGCATGTGATGGGTTAGAAACAAGTTCAAAGGTCAGAGGTCAAACTGACTCGCCAACCTCTGGTTTAAACCAACAACTCTCCACTGTTATGTCACTGTCTGCTCCTCTCAGCTGCAGGAGGTGAAACAGGAGGAGGAGCAGGTGGAGACATCGATCAGTCAGAACGGACAGACTGAGGCGCCCCCGCCTGCTGAAAACAAACCCACCATGGCGTCTCTGCCGCTGCGCCCCTACGACCCCGACACCCCCATCGGTGAGAAAAGACGACTGAACAGATCAAATAAGTCTTTTATTGTGAAAGGTTCACAGGTTCATGTTTTTGTTTTTATCAATTTAGGACAAAAAAGTGTGAATATTGAAATATTAAACATGATTTAATTGTTTCTTCAATAAAAACTGATCATTGATGAAATGTTTGTGCAGGTGTGGAACACGTGAAGATGGGTTACTACTGTCGCGTTTGTTTCCTGTTTTACTCCAACGAAGACACTGCGAAGAAAACACACTGCAGCAGCCAGACGCACTACGACAAGCTGCAGGTGAGACACCACACCTGAGACAAAGCTCCGCCCACATCACACCTGAGACATGTGGTCAATAATAATGAACTTCATTCATACAGCACCTTTCAAAATAATGCACCAAATTCTTTACTAAAGAAAAACAACAAATGAACAGTTTCAATAAAATAAGAGAATAAAAGTTAAATAAACAAAATACAATAAAATAAAGAGAAAAACAAACAAAAGTTAAAGATGTTATTGATCAGATGTTATTGATCTTCAGGCAGGGAGATGAGTCACAGCTGTCTGATGTGATAATGTTTCTTTGTTTCAGAAATATCTGGAGAAGGAGCAGATGAAGGCAGAGAAGAAGAAAGGGAAGAAGACGACGTCATGAAGACACCATGAGTTCATCCAACCATTTTACTTTGTAGTTTTTCTTTAGTTTGAGGTTCAGACGACGCGCACTGATCACCGAGGAGCTTCAGCTGTAAACACGTCTCCTAGGAAACAGACGGAAGCTGAAAGACTTTGTGTTACAGAAGGTGACGAGCTGCTGAGTGGATGGACAGTAAACAGGAAGTCAGTGAATCCATCACTCATGTTTTCTCCGTCCATGTGGAGAGTCGTTGGTGTGAAAGACAAACGAAAATTAGTGAATTTTTTTTCTTCCTTGAAATGATTCATTAGTCATCCACCGAGCTGCTGGTCAACTTTCAGTCAATTGACTCATTGATTATCTGTTCAGTTCTAAATGAGACATTTGAAGAAAATTACATTTTTCATTTATAATTCAAACATCGACTGAGAGTAAAAACTTCACCAGCCGTTTTCAAACTGACTGGATTTAACTTTAACAGTGCAGTGTTACAGGAGATGATCACACACCAACAGCTGTTTACGTGGCCGTACTGACGTGAGCGCTGGATTAAAAGGAACACTTCAACATTTTGGGAAATAATCTTTAACTACTCTCATTAGCTTAGCTTAGCATAAAGACGGGAAACAGCCTGAGGTAAATATCTCCTTCCTGCGTTTAGGAGGAGGACCTACGTGCTGGAACTATTTCTTCACAAACGGTGTATCCTTCCACAAAGTGCCACTCCACAGAAGTGCTAGGTGGATGGATACACTGTTTGTCAAGAAGTAGTTCCAGCAGGTGATTGTTAGTGAATGTGAATTTTCATCCTGATACAGAACAAACTGAATGTGTTGAATTTTTATGTTGTTTGTTTTATAAAATAAACCAGTTTCTTTAAATTAGAATCTTTTTAATGTTTGATTTATTTGACTTTTTCACTTCAACAGAAACAAATCAACGTTAAGTATAAAGTAGCAGCTTTAATTTTTAAATCGGTTTTAAACCCTCTACTCTGCCTAAGTGTCAGTAAACAAAAACAATCAGACATTTTGCTCACAGTCTGACGTCACTGCTCAGGACTTCTGGGTAATGTAGTCTTTAAAACTGATAACTAATTGTAAACATAATCAATTCGACTTAGTTTCAGTGTCTGATGTTTTTTCACTGTTGAACAGATTCAGCTCGTCCACGGATCCTTCCCCGTCTTCTCCTGAAAAAGTAGAGACGTTTCATTCAAACCAACAGTCGACAGATGTGAAGCAGATGTGACGACTATGAAACACAAACTGAAAATAAAAAGATTTAATGAACCAATCAGCTGATGTGAAAAAGAGCCGACATCATCGAGATTCATTTAAACTGAACATTGTTGATATTTGAGTTGTCAAACGTGTTCAACACATTTTTTTAAACTGAACTTGACGTGACGACAGATGGTGAGTTTTCAAACGTCGCTGCTGGTCTGGACGTTTCTCTGAATACATTTTAAAAACTGTGTCTGTCCAAATACTTATGGACCTGACTGAACAGTTTCAGACGTTCGTTCACGATCGTCTCTCAGAGCTGAAGCTGCGGCTCGTTACCTGGTACTTCCTGTAGTGCGTCGGGCTGCTGCAGTGCTGCAGCTTGGCTTCGTCCTCGTCGGCGTAGATCACCTGACACAGGTGACAGAAGTAACCGACGACCGGCCGAACGAACTCTGTTCCTGCAGAGAACAAACAAACGGGATGAGGAGACAGCGAAATAATGTTATTAAATCACACGTTGAGTCGTGTGGCTCTTCTCTTTCTGCAGTTTATTTTCTTACCGACAGGTTTGGTGGGTCTCTCTGGTTCTGCAGCGCCCCCTGCAGGTACAGGCTTTTGTTCCAAGTCCTGGAGACGCTCGTCATCATCGGGTTTCTAAAAACAGATCATGGATCATTAACGAGCTCCTTCCTGTATCAAACCACAGCTGTAATCCACAGAGTAATTTAATATCCTGTCACACACGGAACCGTTCACTGATTTGTTCTCTACAGGAAAATGATAATAATCAACTATTCTGATCATTGTTTCAATCTGTTTGTTTCTGTCAGTGAAGTGAACATCGATTGGTTTAGACAAACTGACACCTGAAGATGTCGCACTGAACCAATCAGTGAGCTCACAGATGGGTCCGGCCCACCTGTCTGTTCAGTGACATTTCAGAATTTGGCCAATTACAAGCATTTCTCTAAACGCAGTGCAGCGTCTGTTCAATAAGAGCTGACTGGTGTGTTTTCTGGTAACAGCTGAATTTACTGACTGGCCCTGCTCTGCATGATGTCACACGTTCAGCTGCTCTGATTGGTTGAAGTTCCAGAGGCCTTTTGTTCTGTGAGCGTTGATGAGATCAGGTTCATTTTCACCGTTTCCTGATGTTTGAGACAAAACGATGAACTGATGAATTTAAGGTAAACACAAGAAACTTGTGCTACAGAAAATGGAGCAGACTCAGTGAATAGCTCCCTAAGCTTAACATCCTAAGTCCTATGATAAGTATTAATTCAGCTACACAGACTAATGAGCAGTGATAACTAACATGTCTTTGGGGTCATCAGGTGGGAACCTCCTTTCACCAGTGTTTCGTCTAGTTGGTCCCACGACACCTCCAGGAGGCTAGACAGTGATCACTGGCGTCCCAGAGTCACTCCCCTAATGCCAGCCATCACTGCTCCTCACACCACCACTATTTTCTCCTTTATCTTGCCTATGCTACCACACACAACATCATCAACTAGGGCAAAACACTCTAGCAGATTCAGCAAACAAACTCCCCTAAACAGTTCTGTTCTGTTGTGTAGGACTAGATGTTTTTGTTTTTTTTTCCCAGAAAGTGGCGGCCAGTTTAAATGAGGGAGGTAGAGTCAGGGAGAGATGCCTTGTTGGGCTAAACTCTCCCCCGCCGGATTAGGCTGTGCTCTACCTCCCCCTACTCCCCCACTCTCCAAGATAATACAACTCACCATACAACTCACCTAAAACAAACAAACTCACCTAGACAGTCAAAGACACACTACAAACCAATTCAAAACAATACAACAAACAAACAAACAATACAGGCCACCTCACCTGGACTGACCGCATGGTCTCAAAGAAGCTCACACAGGCCACACCCCCCATTTAAAAACACTTCCTCTTCCTTGATTTCTTCCTTGCTTCTCCTAAGAGTCTGTCTATCCTAAGTGCTCCCCCTGCTGGGCCCCCAGCTACCATTATTTCTTCTCATCCAAATCCACCGACTGGATCTTACTGCCTCATCTGACATGTCTTTTACTATTTTCCTCACACTCTGTCCACTTCCTCCTAACTCCCTCACCAATGAAACAACAGACCTTGCTACAAATCCTCTACATCCTACTTCTACTGGACAAATCCTAACTTTCCATCCTCGCTGCTCTGCTTCTGCCCCTAACTCTGCATACCTGAGCTTTTTCCTTTCATATGCTTCTTCAACTGAAGCCTCCCACGGAACAGTCAGCTCTATGAAATATATTCTCATTCTACTCCTAGACCACAAGACTATGTCAGGCCTTTGCTGTAACTGATCAATTAACAGGAAATAATCAGCTCACTAACAGACTCGTTATAAAACTAAAACCTGAGAGCAGGTTAAACTCTGAAGAGGAGCAGCAGTGACCTTTGACCTCAGAGACTAAATCAGGTCCTCAGGTAATCAGTCGCACCTGTTGGGTTTGTGGTTTTGGAGGATCTGCAGCAGAATCTGGTCCATCTGAACTCTTCTCTGGACTCCGATCAGCTGATCCCTCCTCTGTCTGTGGACCCTGATCAGCTGATCCGTCCTCTGTCTGAGGACCATGATCAGCTGATCCCTCCTCTGTCTGAGGACCATGATCAGCTGATCCCTCCTCTGTCTGAGGACCCCGATCAGCTGATCCCTCCTCTGTCTGTGGACCCCGATCAGCTGATCCGTCCTCTGTCTGTGGACCCCGATCAGCTGATCCGTCCTCTGTCTGAGGACCCCGATCAGCTGATTCGTCCTCTGTCTGTGGACCCCGATCAGCTGATCCGTCCTCTGTCTGAGGACCCCGATCAGCTGATCCCTCCTCTGTATGAGGACCCCGATCAGCTGATCCCTCCTCTGTATGAGGACCCCGATCAGCTGATCCCTCCTCTGTATGAGGACCCTGATCAGCCGATCCCTCCTCTGTTTGAGGACCCCGATCAGCTGATCCCTCCTCTGTCTGAGGACCCTGATCAGCTGATCCGTCCTTCACCTCCAGATCTTCCTTCAGGGTTCCTTCAGACTCGTTCCCGTGCTCTGGACTCGTCTTTGGCAGCTGCTCCTCCTCTGGAGTCTTTTTGGACACCGAGTCTTCGTCTTTGGTTTTATGACTGGATGACTCTTTATCTGGTGTCGTTCTACAGGTTTCTGTTTCTGATGTGGTTTTGGCGGGAAACCCCTTTCCTGGAGTCTTGTTATTGGCTGATTCCTTGTCTGGACTCCCTCTGGAGACCGACTCATTTTCTAAAGAGTTTATATCAGTTGAGTCTTTATCTGTAGACCTCTTGGATCCTGACTCTTTATCTGGTGTCGTTCTCGAGGTTTTTTCTGATGTGGTTTTGGTGGGAAACTCCTTTACTGGACTTTTGCTATTGGCCAACTCTCCCTCTGGAGTCTCTCTAGCAGCTGATTCTGTCTCTGGTGTGTTTGTGACGTCCTGCTCTGGACTCTCTCTGGACACGGACTCCCTCTCTGTTGACCTCTTGGATTCCGACTCTCTCCTGCCCTCAGACTGGCGGCAGGTCTCGTCTCTGTCCGACGTTCTGGATTTGCTTCGTCTCTCGCTCCTCCTCCTGCTGCTGCTTCGACTCCGGCGCTCGCTCCTCTTCTCTTCATCCTCGTCCGACTCAACCTCCCACCTACAGAGACACAAACTCAGGGTTAATGACCACACAGGACACGGTGAAGACACGGTGAAGACACGGTGAGGACACTGACCCGTTGATGAGTCTGTGGTATTTGTGGGAGATGCGGACGATGAGTTTGGAGCCGTGGAAGACGACGGGTTTACAGCTGAGCTCCCGAGCCGCTCTCAGAGCTTCTGACGGTCTCGACATCTCAATGAAACCCTGAAACACAATGACACACAAACACTGAGGACCAAAGAAAGACCAGGTCCTGAAGCCATGAGACCGAGGTCACATGATCCAACAGCTCAGTCTGAGGTAGAACTCAATCGACAACATGAAGTGGTCAGTTTCCAGTCAGAGTAGTTCCAGGTTACATCCCTGAGTCAGGTAAAATATGAACCGTCTGTGTGACATTTGATCATAATTGCCGTTTCAAGTCTTGAGTAATGGCTAAAAGAGTGTTTTGTGAGGTCACTGTGACCTTGATCTTTGAAACCAAAATCTAATCAGTTCATCCTTGGGTCCCAGTGAATGTTTGATTGGTAGTTCCGTCAAGGTGTCACTGAGATATCGTGTTCACGAGAATGAGGAGACAGACGGACGACCTGAAAACAAAATGGCTGCCGGCTCCGACTGTCTGTGTGGAGGGAAAATTAACTCTCTTCTCTAACCTCTCGGCGTCGGCGGATCAGGAAGTAACGTGCCGCCGTCCCGAAACCTCTGACCAGTTTGACGAAGTCGGCGTCGGTGTAGAAACGCTGCGGCAGGTTGGTGAAGTAAACCACTCTGGTGGACGGAGGCTGAAAACAACAAGTAAACAACAACAACAACAGATCAACAAAATGTCCAACCAACGAAGAGTTATATCACCAGTGACACTGACCTCAGGTTGACCTCTGACCTCAGGTTCATCTGTGACGTCTGGAAACAGAAGAAGAAGAAACAGACGCAGAGTTAAAGAAAACTGGAAAAGGTCAAAGGTCACATCACCCCCTCCCCTCCATCAGTACCTGGGTCATCAGACTGGTCCTCTTCCACTTCATCCATAATGATGCAGTCCTCCAGGTCCACTGGGAAACCTGGTTCCTCCTGACGACCAGAGACCAGAGGTCAGAGACCAGGACACACAAAGACCAGAGGTCAGAGGTCAGAGACCAGGACACACAAAGACCAGAGGTCAGAGGTCAGAGACCAGGACACACAAAGACCAGAGGTCAGAGGTCAGAGACCAGGACACACAAAGACCAGAGGTCAGAGTTCAGGATGTGAAGAAGATGCTAAGATCAGAAAACATGATCCCAGTATGAAACTGGATCCACTGGGAGTTGAAATGGTTTCTCTACCTCTTCATCCTGAGTCTCTGCTGCCTCTTCTGGTTCTCTGGTGGTTTCTGATTCCTCATCTTTTTTCTCCTCGTCCTCCTTTATCTCTTTCTCCTCCTCCGTCACTAGTTTCTCCTGATTGTCAGTCTCTCCGTCCTTCACTTCCTTCTCTTTCTCTGAAAGCAGACGTCACAGTTTCTTTAGTTTTTGTCTGTTTGGATTTTCTATCTTAAAGTTTTGATTTTTACCTTCTTCAGGTGAGTCTCGTCTTTCTGCTGATCCACTGTTTCCCTCCACAGCCGCCTCCGCCTCCTCTTCTTCTTCCTCCTCCTCCTCAGCATCATCCAGATGTTCCGCGTCTTCCTCTTCCAGATTCTCTCCGTCCTCTCCGATCACCTCCATCCCCTCAATGTCGCTGTCATCCGCAGACGACCTGCAGGTCGTTTCATGAGACGTTTACTAACCTGCTCAGAGCTGGGAAATCACTGAACTTTATACATGTTGTAGGCCTGATGACGAACATGAGAAACTCACTCTGCTTCTTCTTCACTCTGCTCGTTCTCTGCAGTCTCAGGTTTGGAGTCTCTGACCGGAGCTGGTTCAGGATCAGTCCTGGACTCAGAGTCTGGACAGAACACAGTCGACCCTCATCAGTACACTTATGTAATAATCATTCCAAATAATATCCTGAATTAATCATTGAACATGATCAGAAAATGGTTGATTGATCAATTTAAGTTCTTTTAAATCTCTCTCACCTGGTTTCTCTGGTTCCTCCGTCTTTTCTCTGGACCTGTTCTGCTTGGACGACCCGCTGCTGGATTTATCTCTGGATCTGGACCTGGTCCTCCTCTCTCTGCTGGATTTATCTCTGGATCTGGACCTGGACCTCCTCTCTCTGCTGGATTTATCTCTGGATCTGGACCTGGTCCTTCTGTCTCTGCTGGATTTATCTCTGGATCTGGACCTGGTCCTCCTCTCTCTGCTGGATTTATCTCCGGATCTGGACCTGGTCCTCCTCTCTCTGCTGGATTTATCTCCGGATCTGGACCTGGTCCTCCTCTCTCTGCTGGATTTATCTCCGGATCTGGACCTGGTCCTCCTCTCTCTGCTGGATTTATCTCTGGATCTGGACCTGGTCCTTCTGTCTCTGCTGGATTTATCTCTGGATCTGGACCTGGATCTCCTCTCTCTGCTGGCTTTCCCTCCTTCCAGCTTCCTCTCCTCCACTCTGTCTTTACTGCTGCTCCTCCTCTTGGTTTCAATCTCCACCTCCTCTTGACTCTGACTCCTCCTCCTCTTGGTTGGGGGCGCATCCTCTTCTTCCTCATACCTCTTGGCTGACGCTACCCGCCTGCAGGAGGAGACAAACGGTAGAAACATCACTATCAATCAACGATCCATGGACCATAGTCAGCTGATCGGCGGCTTGTACTCACATGAGGCTCTTGTATTCTCCGGAGAAGGAAACTTTGAGGAAGTCGCTGTTGATCCTCAGAGTGTTGGAGGAATAATAATCCACCAGCTTCTGAGCGTCAGGAGCATTTTTCATCTCCACAAATGCCTGAAAAACAGAAACATGAAGAGGAAGAACTTTCTGTTTCCAGGTGGAAAGTTTTACTTGTAAACGTCTTTCCATTCCCTCCATCTTTAACTGAATCACTTCTCAGATCCTGATCCTGATTGAACGTTTCTATTATGACCTTTGACCCCCAAAATCAAATCAGTTCAACCTTGAGTGAATGTTTGTGCCAAATTTGAAGAAATTCTTTCAAGGTGTTACAGAGATACAAAATGGCCGCCTGCTCTGACTGTCACCGGGCGGAGGAATCAAAGCTAGATCTTTACAGGTCTCTCTCGACTCAATGGATAAGACCTATGTCTCACAGACCCTCATTAATTATATTAAGGATTTAGATTTAACAGATAATCAAATGAGCAATGCAGTTTCTGTAAATTATTTTTTCTCTTTTTTAAAATCATTATAATGAATAAACGCCAATTTGTATAGATTACCAATTGTTAAGGCAAGAGGAGCATTAATGTTTTATTAAATTTCATCATGTTAAAATGTAAACAGAGATCTCACTATAGACGGCAGGAACAGAGTGTAGAGCGGTGGGCCGAAGCGTTTGATGACGCTGATCAGATCCGATTGGCCGTCTCCTCCTGTCGGCGCCGGAGTGAAGCTCACCACCTGAGAACTCTGCGGGAGAACAGACAGAACACATCTTATTTAGTTTATATGTTAGCACTAATAAGCAGGTATAAGTGTCTGTGCTCACCATGGCTGGCCTGTTAGCTTAGCTCATTAGCAAGCTAATTAGCCAGCAAATGAATAAGACTTGGGTTAGCCTTTAACCAGCTGTGCTAACGATGCTAATACAGTTACTATACCAGTTCCTAACACGCCCCTCCTCTTTGACCATATTTGGCTTAGCTGGTAGTTAGGGGGCGGAGTCAGACACTACCAAGATGGCGACAGTGGAGCAGCTCACTCTGAACTTCAGAAACAACATCACAGTTTTGTGTTTGTCCTGAGTGGTTTTTTTATTTTAAATGAAGCAACGTTAATAAACGTTTTGAGTGCGATCAAAGATTCAAAAGCATCAAAACGATGGAGAAAATATTTGATGACGTCAGTTTGACCATGAGAACAGAGGTCGACCACTTTAAGACGTATTTATTGTGAAGCACATTTTTAGGCAGTTGCACACGTTAGCTTTCTGCTGTTGAATGTGGACCCCCGACGTAGGGCGCCGATAGACCGGATCGATCCCTGACCTGCAGAGACCCAAAACCAGATCAACAGTCTCCATAACTGCTTCTTACTTCATCAGTGTTTCTGAGCTCGCGGGTGGAACCAGATCCTTTCTGTGACTGATGAGTGTGTACCTGGAGGAAGTTGAAGGTGTTGGAGATGCTGAACTCGATCTGCTCTCCGTTCACCGTCGGAGGATAGTTGACGTGGAACTTCACCAAGTCCTTGGCTTGATCCACGGAGCCCAGCTCCACGAACGCCTGCAGGGTTTCAACAGAGGTCATCGTTAACAATCATGACGGCTTCTGTCTGTCTGTCTGTCTGTGTGTCTCTGTGTCTGTGTGTCTGTCTATCTGTCTGTCTGTCTGTCTGTCTGTCTGTCTGTCTCTCTGTCTGTCTGTCTGTCTGTCTGTCTCTCTGTCTGTCTCTCTGTCCGTCTCTCTGTCTGTCTCTCTGTCTGTCTCTATGTCTATCTGTCTGTCTGTCTGTCTCTATGTCTATCTGTCTGTCTGTCTGTCTCTATGTCTATCTGTCTGTCTGTCTGTCTGTCTCTATGTCTGTCTATCTGTCTGTCTGTCTGTCTGTGTGTGTCTGTGTGTCTGTCTGTCTGTCTCTCTGTCCGTCTCTCTGTCTATCTGTCTGTCTGTGTGTCTGTCTCTATGTCTATCTGTCTGTGTGTCTGTCTCTATGTCTATCTGTCTGTCTGTCTGTGTGTCTGTCTCTATGTCTATCTATCTATCTGTCTGTCTGTCTGTCTGTCTGTCTGTGTGTCTCTGTGTCTGTGTGTCTGTCTATCTGTCTGTCTGTCTGTCTGTGTCTGTGGGTCTGTCTGTGTGTCTGTCTGTCTGTCTGTCTGTCTGTCTGTCTGTCTGTCTGTCTGTCTGTCTCTATGTCTATCTGTCTGTCTGTCTGTCTGTCTCTCTGTCTGTCTCTTTGTCTCTCTCTGTCTGTCTCTCTCTCTGTCTCTCTCTCGTCTCTCCTCTTGAAACAGGAGAATGAACAGGTGGAATCAGACTGAGTGTTCAGGTGTGTGTGATAAACCAGGTGGACTCACCAGAGATGGAAACATGAGGATCTTGACGATCTTTCCGAACGGCTCTGTCAGTTTCCTCAGGTACGTCTCGTCCACAGACTGAGCGGGAAACTTCACACACACCACTTTCCCTTTCTCTGACGCCTGAGAGGAACAAACACAGAGAGGTTCAGAGGAGGAGCAGCTGAAGGGAGTGAAGTCGAAGCTGCAGCTCTCTCGCTCGGTCTTTACCTTCCTCTGAGACGGTTTGTTTGGCTGCAGCTCTGTCGACACAGAGGAAAGAGACGTTAGTGTGAGAGAAGCAAACAAGGATCGAAACGCTGTCAACAGCACTGATGCACAATGAGGTCATTTACTTTGGCTCTGATTGGCTGTCTGTGGCGGCCGGGCGGCTTTTTCTTCATCCTTCCTCTTCTCTGATTGGTTGTCGGCCCTTTAATGACAAAATTTTTATTTAGGACGTTGTGTTCAGGACAGTGACACATGAAGACAAGAGCAGGAATCTGTTCAGGAAGATGAAGATGATGATGATGATGATGATGATGATGAAGATAGTTGTAGGTGTGCAGCACACTGACCTGTTGACCGTCTCCATGCGACAGTCCCAGTTAGGAAACCTGAAGAAGAGACGGAGTCATGAAACTGAAGGAGGCCACGACACAGACCTGAACTGACCGCACCAGCACTTCCTGTCAGGGATCGTTGGATTATCAGCCTGGCTGATTATCGGTGGTACTGTGCAGCATTTTACGATCATCGGTATCGTTATTTTTTTTTTAACCAGTAAAATAAAGAATCTGTGAGTAAATGTGTTACTGCGTTACATCTTAAAGGGGAGGGGTCAAACATCTGATTTGGTGATAATAATAATAATATATGATAAAACTATTACATTAAAGAGCATCTTTAGGTCACCTGGGGAATCAGTTCACAGGTGAGAACAGCGTGCACCAGTCAGGCTCTCTTACAAATATTGTTTGTTTTCTCTCTCTTTTCCGTGAAGCCGTTCTCTGATGTCGACTTTCTTTAAATCCTTGATCTGTAGTTTTCATTTAAATGTAAATACAGGTAAATACAGATCATATGTTTATAACCCATTCTGTTGACAGCATTAAAAAGTCCTCTTTGTTTTGGGGGGGTTGTTGTGTCCCTAACACTGTTGAACCTAAACCTACGCCTTTGGTTTAGAGGCTGGAGGAACAGTGACGCTGCTTCAGCTGTTGTTGGTGTTTGGATTGAGGCAGTGAGGTGTGTTTGTGTCAGACAGGTGACACTTTGCTGGGGGGGGGGACTCACTGCTGCAGCAGGCCGAGCTGTCCGTCTGCATGCTGCGTGCCGTTGATGTGTTTAATCCAAACCTGAAACACAAACACAGGAAACAGATGAATCCGTCGCTCTGCTCCAACGCTCCGAGGAGGAAGCCTGAAAATCAGCTGAACACAGACCCCTCCCCCCTCGCTGAGCCCCCCCACCACCCCCAGACTCTGCAGAGAGAGGATCGAGGAGGACAGGTGTACTTACCCTCTCTGACAGCACAGTGATATCACACAGAGAGCACGAGTACGGGAACACCTGAGGGGACGTCCCGTGGAAGTCCAGAGTTTCTTTGGGGGAGGGCATGGAGGCGGCTGCAGCGTGCCGGCTGCTCCTGATGGAAGAGGTTTCAGACCGGCGGTGGCCCCCCCGAGGTTGAGGAGCTGACCTGTGATCAGCTGACCTGTGATCAGCTGATCTGCGCTCGGAGAAATGGGAAGGACGAGTTCTTTGTCCCTGTCCTGGCGACCTGAAAGAGGCTCGGTCCTGAGAGGAAGCTGAGCTCGTGGCTCTGCCGGCCTTACCGTACACAGAGGGTCCGGGTCTGTGGTGGAAGTCCACCACGTACATGGAGGATGAAGATGAAGCTGATGATGATGATGGTGGATGATGGTCTGCTCTCACAGAGCTGCTGGTTCTGGGATTCCCCCAGCGGTCCTGGACCTGCTCAGATGGAAGATAACTGGGAGCGACCTGGTCCAGTGGGTACTGGACCGGCTGGCTGTGGAGCTGGTCCCAGTCTCCGCTGGAGGAGGTAGCGGCGGGTTGACGGGTGGAGCTGGGAGGATAAGAGGAGGAAGAGGAGGGAGGAGCGTTGGGAGGGAAAGGTTTGATGGTCCCTCTCTTTCCTTTGATCTGTTTGAGGACATGAGGCAGGGACTCCACGGTCAGGACGTCCTCGGGCAGCTCGGCCAGCAGAGACAGGTCGCTGGGCTCCAGACCGCAGCTACTCAGGATGCTGAGAGCGCCGTCCTGCGACCACTGAGCCGAGCCTCTGGAGGACGAAGACGACCGGTAGGACGAGGGGTGGGACTCCTGAGGAGGCGGACTGTAAAAGTTGTGGCCCGGTGAGGCGTGACGGAGGTCCGAGGAGCTGTAAGGTCCAGGATCAGGTCTGAGGTCAGTGTCAGACGCCGTCCGTCTGTACGGGTACTTGTGAGACATGACGGGATGAAGCTGTGGAGAAACGCTCGCGGCGTTTCCTGCAGACAGAAGGTGTCAGGGAAGACAGCAGATGTAAATAGTGACTTAAAGACAGACAGGAAGTTTGAGGACGCGACGTCCTGAGAGAAAATATTTCAGCTGGAAACATGGAAACTGAGGAGCAGCAGCTGTTCAGGTCTGTGTGCCTCTAAATAACAGAAGAAGAAGAAGGTGACGCAGGTTTTAGGGAAATGAAGAGTTACCTTCATGAAAGGAAACAGCTGTTCAACATTCAACCAGAGAACTTGACGAGAGACGTCAAACACACAGGTGACAGGTTTAGTTAGTGCTGGTCAATTCATCTCATTTTATTTTCAACTACGATTTTATCTTCCAACGATTATGAAAACAAGATTATCGAGATAAAACGATTATTGTGCCACATCCTGTTTCACAACAGGTTTCACCCCCCTACAAAAACCTTCCCCGCATCCTCTTCCTGGTTACGTCTCGGCGTCTTTAGCGACATTCGTAGGACAGCGCCATCTTGAGTTGGAGTTTTCAGTCTGTTGGTGCAATGCACTAATTTTACAACATAGTTGATCTTATTTTTATATTATATATTTAATTGCATATGTTTAGAGATCATATATATATATAATATTTTTCTCATTTTTTATTTGTTTTTCTGTTGAATTGTATTTAAAGTTCGAGAAAGTCCACAGTTAAAAACACAAAGATCTTTTAAAATTCAGTAAATGCATTGTGTTTCCAAAGTTAATGAGCCATCGTATTAAATAATCATGATTATGATTTTTGCCATAATCAAGGAGTGCTCGGTTTAAAACTGAAACTATTCAATTACTCCTCAATATGTGATTATTATTTCCTCATTTAAGTGTTTTGTTTGTAAACAAATAAATTTACACTCAGTTTTGTAGCGTTGACGACGTCCCCAAAAGAAAAATGTGATTATTCACCATTTTCTGACCAATGATTAATCAAGAAAAAGTTACAGGCAGATTAATCGATGATTACAATAATCAATAGTTTCCGCATTAATACAGATGTTGCATTAAGTCCTGTGAATTTTTGGACTATTTTCTCTCTCCCATATTTTCTACATTATTTCTGAGGCATCATCGTCTCTGTGTTTTAAAGCTGTTTCCTTCTTCTCCAACTAAAAGAAAATCTGCATCCCAGTTTTCTGCCTCTTTTAACTCGTCTTCATCCAACGAGTGGAGCTGCAACAATCAGTGGATTGATCAATTAGTTGATCAACAGAAAACTATTAAACTATTTTGATTTGTTTAGTTTTTTTGCAACTGCCGACACACTGAAAGTGAATGCTCAGACCAAAACATGAAAACCTTCATGACTTAAACAAAGGAACCAAAAGTTCAAATACATTTTCTTCTTTACACTTTGTTTTCAGCTCTATACACACGCAAATACACTGCACACTTCCTCTTACATTAAACACTTTGTTCAAGACTCGAATCTTCAAACTGCAAAACACACCTGAAATTTGCACCGCCCACACACACACACACACACCTGAAAACACAGACCCAGGGAGAGGAAGAGCCCCCCCCCCAAACCCTCACAGACTTCACTGAGGTCCCCTGGCCAGTGACTGAGTGTGAGAGGCTGCAGTGGTGTACAGAGGTATGGGAAAGCACTTATACCACGTTACCTTAATGATGTCAAAACATTTGCATTCATTTCAATGGTGGGTTTGGGACTTTTATTTTTCATTTTTATTCCCTCCCCTCAGCTCCAAGTGTTCTGACTCATTTGGCTTGTGTGTTGAGTTTTCAGCCAAATTCTGACATAAGTGTGTAAGCAATCACAAAAAAACAGTACTGCTTTGACTGCTCTTTGATGTGACCTCATAAGTATTTATTTATTTACAAGTATTTATTTATGTGTATAAGCAAAAGCAATTTAAAAGTGCAATTTTAAACTCATCCTGACATATCTTTTTTTTTTTTTTTTTTACATATTTCCTATTTATGTATAAATTTATCTTGTTTATATATATATATATATATTATTATCTTACTCAGTGGCACAAACACAGCAGCAGAGCAGGACTGATGGTTTTCTGAGCTACAAGCTGACAGAATGAGGACGTGTTGTGTTCAGTGTCACTGCTCTGCTGGTTAATAATCAATCGATCAATCAAGACTGTGCTTCTGTTACAATATCAGCACCAATGTGAAGATCAATAATCACAGAGAAGCAGAGCTACAGTCATTACCGGTGTCCCAGCAGAACCTGCTCCGTGTTTCACGTTTAAAACTGTAAGAAACTGTATCAGAAGTCGGCTAACAACATTAGCTTACCGAGCTAACAGTTACCTAACTGACAGACAGTCGCGAGCTTACCTTGAATCAAACACGGAGCGGCTTCAGATGAAACACGTGGGCTCCTGATGATGACGTAAAAACTTAATGTGTGATAAAAACGTTTATTAACGAAGAAAAAGTGCAGAGAATCGAACTGCTACTAACAAGCTAGCAGCTGTCTGACGTCACCTTCTTCTTCTTCGTCTGTTTCATGAGGGTTGGTGAATAAACATTTGGCGCTTTACCGCCGCCTAGTGGTGAGAGATAACGATAATAAAAAATTAAATAAATATGAATTTAATTAAATGTTAAAAATACATTAAATTAAACAAATAACATTGAATAAGTAACAAATGAATAAATAATAAATTTAAATAAAAATGAAATAAAATTCATCAAAAATAAAATTAAATAAAATGAAATCTAAATAGAATTAAATTAGATACAATTAAATAATTAACATAAAATCAGGTAAATGAGAAATTTGTATCTGCAAAATAAAAAACTCAAAACACAACTCTAAACAACAAAGAAATGAACAAGTCTGTTGCTACAAAATAAATATATTAATAACTAAGAGTTAAAAAAGAAGAGAAGAAAATCATTTTAATTGAAAAGGTTATGTGTAATGACTTTTAAAAAATGAAACTCATCAATAATTCTGTTCTGAAATGAACAAGTATATTTATAAGTGTATTTGAAGATGTTTGCACAATGTGTCTGAAATAAAAAAATGTAGCTGATTTCTCTAAACGTCATGACCAAGTGAACTTAATCATAATCAGTAAACTAAAGAAGGGAAAATATCTTATTCAAGTACTGTCTTCAAGTCTAAGAGGGAATATCAGGGCCTGATACATTTTTTTTTATTATTTTGATATTAAAGTCATGATATTTTGAGAAATAGATCATAATAATATAGTAATGAAAACATCAATCAAATTCCAGTATATTTATGTGATATATTAATATGTATGGATGATTCTGAAAGATTTCTTTGGGAAAGTAGAACCCAGACATGTTTGAATGATTCGTGTTGTTCTCCTGTTCACCACCAGGTGACGCTGTAGGCATATTTTTTAATATGGTTCAACCCTCAGTACCATCCATCATCAGTTTCTCTCTGTGAAAGAAAAGAAAAAGAAGAAAATAAATGTGATTGAAACATCAGGACAGAGTCGATATAAAAAACAAATACACATTAAAATACATCAAAAAGAAAATATTAAAATGAATGGAGCAATGATCTCTTCAGCTTTACATCCGACTGTGACGAGAAACACTGAAAGTTATACACAGTGAAAAGCCTTTAACTGTCATATTCATCTGCCTCTAGAATAATAATAAACTTTATAATATAATATAATATAATATAATATAATATAAATGTAGACAGGTGTTCTACATAAAAACGTCATTGACATCCCACAATCCCTCTGTAGTTTTCCACAGATAATTTAACATGATTTAACATAATGAAATTGTAGCTAAAAGAAAACAATACAGAAAATAAATGAATGGAAAGAAAAAGAAAAAGAAATCTTAAAAGTGAGAGAAAAATGAAAAGATATAAAGGTCGAAAAGAATGAAAAGTAATTTTGCTAAATAATGTCCAAATGCATTTATTTATACCTGAAATAAATGAAAATAAGAGATAAAATGTAGTTGTTGACAAAATAGTCTCAGCACAGGGTCCATTTAGTATCTGTACTAGAGCTTTTAGGGCTATTACATGGACTTCCTCGGCAGATGGAGGTTGCTGGATGTTTTTGTGATCACTTTTAAAGACTTCTCGTGTATGTTGAGATTGAAAGATACAGTAAATATTGTGATATAAATATATTAATATATATATTAAATTATATTAAAAGTAAATGTTGAAAAAAGAAATGAAATGAAATAAAGGACACAGTACAATGACTAAAGAAATGATCACATGAATAAACTGCAGAAAGAAGCATCTGTGGAACCATGTTACAGAAATATAAAGTATGAATGAAGAAAGAATAAAATATTAGTAAAGTTAATTGTATTAAATGATTTTTCTTCTTTGTTGAGGAATAAAAACCATAAAAACAGGACGTCAGCAGCTGCAGCATCATATTTAATAAAGACGCAGAGAACAGCAGGTGGAGCCACAGACCACATGATCAACACTCACCTGTTCTGCTGATACTGTCTGTTTGTGTTTGTGGGAATAAAGATCAGAAAACACCGCAGATGATATTTGACATTAATATTTGCTCAGATTTAAAACTTTAAAGTGTTTGTATTGTCAAAAAATATCAGCTGATTTATTGTAGGTTTACAAATGAGTCAGATTCAATAAACAGGCGGCAAACGACAGACAGTTTAATGGAAAATTAATTTCACAGCTGAGTCAGGTTTCATTTTGATTCACTTTATTTAGAAACGCAGCAGCTCTTTGTGTTTGAGCAGAAGTTTAATGTATGATCATATTCAGAGTTTATTTTATTTTATACAAGCAGCATGTGAAACACTATTGGTTAGAATATAATTACAGCATTTAAATAAATCTGCAAAATATTTCTCCCAATATAAACGAGACAGAAACAGTTCAATGAATCCAGTTCAGACATGTAAAATAAACAGGCTGCACAATTGATCAAACACGCAATCAATCAATATGTGGTTAGAAGTGTTTTACACATGCACATGAAAAGAAATACAGGATAATGATAATAATAATGATGATGATAATAATATTAATGACAGGTTTTTATGAGACTCAAGAAAATGACATAAATGACTTGAAGTGAAGAATCTAAATTAAATTGTAGAAACAGAATAAAAAAAATGAAATGAAACAATAATTAAAAAAGATAAACATTAAGTTATGAAGTTTAAATCAAAGTGTATGGCACTTTATTATTAGTGAATTCAGTGGAGACAAATGAAAATGTGATTTTATTGTAGTTCATTTTGATTCTGAATTTTCACCTCGTTGTAACAAGAATCTGAGAAAAACGATTAACTAACTAAACTGACGGAGAAATATTTTCACTGTGGAGTTCTTTATATCCTCGTCTGCACTGATCTGAATTAATTGTATTACGACCTTTGTCTTTGCTGTTTAATGTCATATCAGACTTTTTATTTTAAAGTGTTTTCTGTGAACAGAAACCTGGACGTCACATTTCCTCTTTCACTCTCCAACAGTCCGTCTGCAAAACAAAAACATCTGCGTCACATCAGGTAAAACTTTAACATCATCAGAGCGTCACTCCTTTTTTATTCATTCATGTGCTTTCGTATTGTCTCGTGTTCTTCTTATATCTTACTTTAATGTCTGTTCATGTCTCGTGAAGCAGTTGGAAGCGTTTCGGTGAAAGCTGCTGTGTCTCACTGCGATCATCAGAAGCTCTGTAATAATTCAGTCTCCAGTAACTAACTCATCCGATCAGCCAGTGATGGAAAGAAATGAGCCGCATCTGAAAAGATCCACAGTTACACGACTTTCATTTTATTTATTGTGTTTATTATTTTACTGTAAATGTCGATAATGTTGTGAGAAATAACTGTGATGTTCTTCACCGCATCAGAACCACAGGTTCTCTGGTACCGGTGTTATTTGGGGACCACGTCGCAGCACAGGTTCTGCGGTACGTTCTCTAGTCTGTACCACGCTTTTCGAGGAATGTTAAAATACGTTCTGTGGGACTGAGGTCCTCAAATACCCCACACGTCTCTGAGTACCACAGGAACTTTCCATAGGAACACGTGGAACCACTGCGACAGAACCAGGAGGAGCAAAGATTTACTGTTTCTGCTCTGCTCCGACCACACTGTGTGTTTTTATTCACCGCAGCAAACCTCAGATATTTACTGTAAATCACCTGTAAGTTCAATCATCTAAAGAGACTGTGATGTGTGGAAATGTTTGCAGACACATGTTGGATAGATTTCGTGATGTGCGCTGATATCGTGGAGTCTAATACGAGGTGGGCGGACGGCAGATTTACTGTTTTCAACCTGCTGCATTTTGTGTTCAAAGGTCAAGTTTCTACACATTAAAACTCAGCTGTTCAAATAAATAAATAACCGCGGGTAAAAACCAAAACAACATAAATAGATTTGATCTTTTAAAACAACAACATTTACAAGTGATGGTCTGAAAAACAAGGTCAATAAAATATGCAAAAAACATTGTGTCAAAAATACATGTAATATTCAATTATTACAGTTATCTTCTTCTCTTTTTAGTCATTAGTCACTTTATTTTATTCACTTATTTTACTGTAATTATGTTTTATTTATTCTATTTTATCTCTTCTTTTATTATTAATGCTCTTTTTTGTTTTTTGTTTCTAATGTAATTTAAATCTATTTGAATTTATCTCATTCCCAGTCTGTTTGAACTGCACTGACCTGTGTGAAAAGTGCTATACAAATAAAGATTGATTGATTGATTGATTGATTGATTGAGTTAAGAGTAGAAAAGAGCTTCTGAAATGTTCTGTTCTTATCACAGTTATTAATAACTTTGTTCATCCAAAACCTTTTCTTTTTAATAAACTTATCAATTCATTTCCTATCACTGGAATCATTGATTATTTACTTATTTTTTTACTGTCTCTATGAAGCTGAGGGAAAAAGTGAAAAGTATTTCCTGTTTCCTGTTGGAGCGTGGACACACATGTTGACGTGTTGAGGTGAGGTTAATCTGTAATTAGCTTGTTAATTGTCAGCATGTGGAGGAGCTGATGACACAGATTTACCTGGATTTAAACACCTGTGTGTCTGTTGATGCTGAACACGTCTGACAGTCGACAATAAAGCAAACTGATCCTGGATCTGTGTTCTCATGTTTTCATGTTCTCATCTCAGATTCTGAGGCAGAAATTCTTAAATGTAAAAACACAGAGATGTTCAGTTGCTCAGATGTGACTGAACTACTACAGAATGTTTGGACCGACTTGTTCAGGGTTCTGGTCCGGAACGCTTTTGTTTTATTAATCTTGTTTGACATGTTTCATATTATTTATTTATTTTTGTGATAACAAGCTTTCCATTAAAGGCGTAAATACATTTATTTTCATGGGTATAAATATAATTAATGAACTT